AGCTTCATGAAAAGAATTAAAAATGTAGTACTAATCAATGATATTTTTAGTTCCAGAGTTGGCAGTGATATCTATAAAAAAAGCGTACAGATTATTTATAAGGAAATAATATTGCAAACAGTAATAATAATCCTTGCGTTTCATATAGTGGCCTTCGTGTTGGGAGAACATCTCAAAGTGCCTGACAAGATTTTCTGTAAATTGAACAACAACAACAACAACTTGGATTTATATACGCCCTCCACGCCGGAAGGCGTCTCAGAGCGCTTCACAATAACGGATCCCGGGGCCGAGCCAGGGGGAGGGGGAGGAAGGTGACCAAAGGCTCGGTCGAAAAAAAAGGTCTTCAGCAGAGACCTGAAAATGGGAAGGGAGGGAGCGAGGTGAAGGGAGTTCCAGAGCCTCGAGGCATAGTGGCTGAAAGCACGGCCGCCAAAGTGGAGAGGAGGACTCGGGGGACGAGGAGGAGGCCAGTCCCGGAGGAACGAAGGCAACGGGTACTGTTTTGAGGAGAGAGGAGGTCAGAGAGGTAGGGGGTTGCAGAGGAGTGCAGGGACTTGAATACAAGAGTGAGGATCTTGAAATCGATCCTCTCTGGGATAGGCAGCCAATGCAGTCTGGCAAGGACTGGAGTGATCGGGGAGCGGAATTTTGTGCGGATGAGAATGCAGGCGGCAGTTTTGAATGATTTGGATTTTATGGATAGGAGTGGATAGGAGACCGGCGAGGAGGGTATTATAGTAGTCCAGTCAAGAGGTGACAAAGGCATGGACCAGGGTTTCAGCGGCTTTTGGCGGAGACGGGCGATGCGTCGGAGGTGGAAGAAAGCGGTGCTGGTGAAGTGACTGTGCATGTTCTAACTTCAAGTTGAAGAATAGGTAGACAGGATTTGATATGACGGTGAATGGCATCTCTGCAAACACAGCAGAATACTACACTCAAGTTTCAATCCAGACTCCAAACTTCTAGTTTTAATGGTCTACAACCTTCTGACTCGGAGATAGGATTACTACATACTGAGCCAAGCTTACAGTAATAAACAGTGTGAAGCAATGAGAGATTTGGAACTGAGCCACTTAAAAAAATGGCCTTCTTTAACAGAGAGCTTCAGCTTTATCCACCATACAAATATCAATCATGTGTGGGATTAACCCAATGTGACTACTACTAATAGATAATTATAGAGCAAATAAAAGTATGTATTTGGTGTTATTTTTCACTTTCAGTAAATATATTGATTTTCGATTGTGTGCACGTTTTCTGATTTAATGTAATCATTAGAGATATTTGTTTATAACCAACACTTCTTACATGCTGATTGTTAATCAATTAATTTGACCCATCTTTAATAATTAAATTTGTTGATGTACTCCATTTCTTTTTTGTCCACAAATATATGAAATTTGAGTTTGTGATAATGACAGCAAGAGGGGACATTAAAGTAACCATTCTCTCTCAGAACTAAATGGTCACTAACACAACCACACACTGAACTATTTTACTCCATTAATACCACATAATACAGCTACTTATAAATTATATCAATTGCAATATAAACGTTTTGTCAGTTCTTAGCAGCTAAATATAAAAATGTAATTTCTTTTGTGCCATGTTCATTGTAACAGAGTGGTGAATGTGTTAAGTAAAAAGGAATATTGAACATGGAATATCTTAGAATGACCTACTTGTTGTCCTTGGTGAGCTGTGCATACACAACAGCTGTAGTAATAGTCTTTCAGCTGGAGAAAGTATGAAGAACATTTTAGTAATGTTTATTTATAATGCCTGGATCTAGTTTGTTTTTTTCCCTCAATATTTACCACTATATGTGGTAGTTGAGGAACTGTTCCAAAGAAGCAAAATTGTTTTGGAAGATTCACAGCGAAAGATAATTTGGACATGACTGAGTGATTTGAATGAACTCAATATCCAGTCACTCAGTACGAGTGATCCACTGTGTGTTTATACATGTTTGGTAAACATTTATGCTTTAGCCTTATCAAGTCAAGCAGTTTTCTTTTACGCTGTAAACATGTTATTACATATCAAATAGGATGGGTATTCCATACCTCCAGTACACTAGTTCTAGCCAAGCTCTATTGGCTCCCTTTCGCCGAATGGATTGATTTCAAGATCCTCACACTAAAATCCCTTCATGACCTGGCACCTCCCTACCTGGCACTTCTGTCCTACATTTGTAATAACGCAGGTCCTTGTGCTGAGCTGGAGGCATGACCAAATCTAATTGAACTTTAAAAGAAACTTGGGACAAGGCGAAAGTGCAAAGGATTCAGGAAGTTCTGTAAAGCCTCAAATTTGTCATCAGGCAATACAGTACATTAGATTTTTTTATTATAATATCTGCTGTTACCTGGATAACAGAGAGGGGCACTAATAAATGCAAGTTATTATGGTTATTGGTAACATTTGTTGTTGGTGACATTTGTGAAATGGAAATTACTCAACAATGAGCAGCTTGGAGATATTTACCTGAGATCATTTGTGAAATAATTTCAATAAAAACTATACCAGTGGAAGTTCAAAGGAAAATCTGGATACTTTAGTTTGTCCAAAGTGAATCTAACAATAATAATTTTATTGTTTATCTCACCAGAACATTTGAGCCACATTAAACCACTCAATGTTGACTTCACCACAATAATAATCAAATACTTGCATTTGAGATAGGGCCTTATCACATCAATATTATCTACTCTAACTACTATTTTGGTTCAAATAAAGGAAAACTTTATTTCCTTTATTGGAGTCCTGTAGCTCAGTAGTTAGAGCACTTGCTTTGCAAGCGAGACACCTGGGTTCAATTCCACGCAGGGCGAAACCTTGGGCAAATTTCCTTACTCTACACACCTAATAATAATCCCTCCAAAAAACAAAACAATAATAAATTGGTCATTTTCAATCCACGAGTGTTTGTGGGACACTGCTGTGTGCAATTGGCTGCTGCATTTCACCCACAAATATACGGTCAATTCACTTGACAGTCTATTCTGTGAAGCGCTTTGAAATGTTGAGAAGATGTGAAAAAGTGCTTTATCAAATGCAAAGGATTATTATTATTATTAAAACGTTAACACAAGACCATAGTTCTTCTTTCAAAGCAAATCTACAGTGCACAGCTGCACCCTTCTGTCCATTAAGAAGAATACAAGTCAACGTGTTACTCTGTGCAGTGATTGTCTAAGGTTTCACTCACACTTGACAAACTAGTGCAGAAAGCTATATATATATATTTTGTGACCTTTCTCTAACTGTACATTTCTTCCATTTCTGTTATATTAGATTTTAAAATGAATTACCTTAAACAAGAAAAAACAGATTTACTGTATTAAATCTTTGAAGGAAAGGTCAGAATAAAATGTAATTATATCTAACACCTAGGACAATTTTTAAAAATAATTTGATTAAACTAGTAGTATTTAATAGTGCAGTAATTAATAGTCTTGGAATCAATTGCTGTCAGCCCTTTTTCATCAAATCATGATTTAATGAGTGATTTGCTGCTGTAGTGAGTAATAATAATTCTTACATTTGAGAGGTCCCAAAGTGCTTCACAGGATGTACTGTAAAATGTTGTGTCTGTGTGTTTTGTGGGGCAAACTTGCACTGCGAATGTTACTTTCATTTGTGCATTCATTTAATTTCCAATGCAGAGGTTATGATTACATTAATGCCAAGTGGAAACATGAACAATGTTCAAAACAATTTGTAAAATTCAAAAAAAAAATGTTGGAAATCCACAACCATTTAGCATCTGAAAACCAAAAATACATGTTGGGGCGTGATCCTGTCTTTCTCTTCGAGATGCTGATTGATACGTGTGGATTCCACCACTTTTGGTTTCGGAATACTTTTGTTTCAATACAGCCAAGGATGCTTTACATCATTTCAGGCAGAATGGCATCACTTGCCAGTGATACTTTTATAATAAAATAATCGTTACATTTGATACAGTGTCTTTCACATCGGCGAGGACATCTCGAAGCGCTTCCCAGGAGTCACCGACTGCGCCAGACTGACACCTTACGCAATTGTCAATTTTCGACGCGATGCACATTAAGAATCGCAATCGGCTGCCGGGTTTCGCCCACAAAACGTGCAGCCAATTCACTTCACGGTGCATTCTGTAAAGCCCTCGGAGGCGTCTCGAAGACGCGATGAGGCGCCGGATCAAATGCAAGGATCATTATTATTACTCCCTAAACCCACCAGCTCTCCCCCCACCCCGACCCTCAGCTCAGCTCGGGTCCGAAACTCTTGTCTGTCCAGCGCCTTAGGATGTCCTCCCGACGTGAAAGGCTCCACCCAAATGTAATTTTGTCGCTGTCGTCGTCGCCGTCGTCGCTGTAGTAGCAGCCGCTGCCTCCGCTTGACCGGCTCCGGCCTCCTGCGTGTGACCGCACTTTCGGCCACCGCGCCCCGAAGACCCGATGAGGCGTCACGACGTCCAATGCGAGGATTATTGCAGCCAATGATAATTGGTAACAACAGCAATAAACGCACGAGTGGCGCTGTTGAAAGCAAAGTCACCGTCAAGTCCAGGACTAGACTACATCCGAGATGTAGGAAAGACAACTTCTTTTTTCCTCTCCCTCCGAAAGAGAGCAAAACTATTTTGCTTCGGTTTTTGCGGTGGAAGTGTTTTGAGTGCGTGTCGGAGGTGAAGCGGCGGACAGGTTTGCGGCTGCGCACGGTTACGGTTTGGCTCCGGCGACCTGTCGGGGGAGGGGGGCTGACAGCCTCCGCGGGTCACGTGACCGCCGGGCGGGCGGGCGGGCGCGGGCGGAATCCGAGTCTCGGGACAAAGAGTCCCGGTGACGTCGGGCGCTCGCGGAGGGACGGTTGGCGGCGGGCGCCGCCGAGTCTGCGCAGTCGCGGCGCCCCGTGCGTCTCGAGTCAAGGCGGTGGGGTCGGTCTGTCTGTCGGTTAACCGCCCCCCCTCCGCCCGCCCCCAACACTCCCCTCCAGGTCAGTCTGTCTTGCTGGCTCTTTAATGGCCTCCCGCCGGTGTCCGGGAGCCGCGGGCTCGCCTTCCACTTCGAGCCCCGGAGAGCGCTCTCCCGTCCCGACTCACAGCGACCCGGCCCGGGAGTTGTTCGAGGCCTGCAGGAACGGGGACGTGGCCCGAGTGAAGCGGCTGGTCAGCGCCGACAACGTGAACGCTCGAGACACGGTCGGGCGCCGGTCGACGCCTTTGCATTTCTCCGCAGGTAAAACAAAAACAGGGCGGAGGCCTCGGGTAACAGTAAAGCCCGGGCCGGTGCTATCATCGCTATCACCGGGACTGGTCTCCCGTTTGATATTTTTTTGTGTGTTCTCTCCGGTTGCCATTTTCTCCAAAAGTGTTTTCGTCTCGAGCGAAGAAACGGGAGGGGGGGACGACCAGTAAAATGGAACTGCAACTCGTTAAGAGAAAGTTGAATGCAACCTCCTGGGTCTTCTTTTGTGTGTGTGTGTGTGTGTGTTTGTCGACGAGCGTCTTTCCAGTCGATGTTGTGAAGCTGACGAATTCAAACTGCGGGGAACATGTATTTGAAAGTATTTATTTCGGTCGGAAAATCATTGTAATGACTGAAGGCCACCGATCAGTGTTGCGAGCTCCATTGGTGACCTTAAGAAAACTGAGCTTGTTGCTGTAAAATCGTCCTGCAAGTTTGTTTATTTGGGGTAAAATGGGCACGTCGTCAATTACGAGGTTTAACGAGGTAGTGTAAGTGCAACTTAATGTAGTGAGTGGACCGTGTTCAGACAAGTCGAGAACCCTGTTAGCGGGGTCGGAGTAGACAGTGTTGTCTATTATTAAGAGGGCGAAACGTAGACTAATGCAGCAGTATCGTCTGAAATACTTACTAAAAATAAAACATTTTTTTGGGGGGGTGGGATGACGACTTGGGGAATCTTTGGTGACAAAAAAATTTTTGCTGCAAAGGTTTAGCGGCGTTTGAGTTGAGTTTTTCCTGTTTCGAGCGCACAATCTCGAAGTCGAGTGACATTGTTTATTCTATATCCTTCACACATTGTTTTGAATCAGGCTGCCATCATCTTCTGGGATTGCCATGGTGGTCCATGATACTTGTTGTGACAAGTTTGCCCTTAGTGTTAGTGGGTGTTCCATGTGCTCTTTCTGCTGCAGGTGAGCATAGCAGGTAATTTAAGTACAGCAATGTTGCACAAAGAGCCATGCAGTGAAAGACTAATTTTGTTTGGGGTATTGTTGGCTAGGACGCTGAGAGAAATTCCCTTCTCGGATAGAGATGTGGGATCTTTAATGATCACCTGAGTAACTCGTGAGACCTCGGTTTACTGTTTCATCTGAAGATGGCACTTCCAACGATGCAGTGCTACATCTTTCAGTATATTTACTCTGAGTAAATTCTTTACCTTGTGAAGCTCTTTGAGATGTTTTAACTACGTGTTAAGGCACTATATCAAATGCAAGGATTATATTGTTTTCTCAGTATATGATCTTATCCTATTTCGATTCAATGTGCGGAGGATACAGAATGAAATGCACTATTTGTGACCTAAGAAGCTCACACTTTCAAAACTTCTAAGATCTTATAAAGTAGGACAGGCTTTGGGGGCAGTGAATGCAGATAAAGAGAAGTGGTTGCAAAAATGCTACCCTGTAAACCATGGTGTAATTGCACATAACAAAATACCAGCAGCATCTGTTTATGTTGTTTATGTGCCAATAAACAATATTTACTTTCATTTCAAAATCTATTCTATTTTGTACATGATTTCAGATTTTATTTTATGTGAAAGATGCTATATAATGGCAAGTTACTACTAGCTGGGCATGAACCAGATTGGGAATCCTAATTTGTTTCTCTTGCCAAAGAGAATCAGTTATATTTTGTAAACATTTCAGGATGTTTATTTTTTGTGAAAGGTGAATGTTATTACTAGCTCGACAGGACTGTTTGGGGATTTAGTCTGCCATATAGAAAATTAAATGCTACTAAGTCTACACCACTGTACACCAGTATAGGAGACAGTCAAGCTCCAGAGAAGGCTCGTGCTATGCTGAAGTCAATGCATGTTGCCACCTGGAGGTCTACTTTGGTGCCAATCAGTACCACCACATATATTCTGATGCTTTGGTTTGAGAGGAGCTGCTTCAGGCCCTTTGCTATTGTGCCTTACAGTTTTGAAGTGTGGAAGATCATTTTATTCTCCTTTAAGTATTATCTTGGCTTAATGGGAAGACTCTTCAATGTGTCAGACTGGAACTTCTGTTCAAAATCTTTATTGACACTCAAGTATAGAGGGAGTGTGGAGTTGGAGTCTCTTCTCACTGTGTCTAATTTTAATGGATATTTCTCTTCTCTCATGTATATCAAAGATACTCTATTCCTTTTTAGGTTTAATTTATTTTGGTTTAACTTGAAGTAATTGTATTTTCTAAAACCAAAATTAATCTGGGTGTACTTCCTCGAAAACTATAACCTTAAAAATAGTAATTAGCTGATAAAACATTTTCCACCACAAGAGTGCACTGCAAGAATGGTTTGTGTGAAAGAATGACTGGTTTCAGAAAGTTGAACGGTTTTAACATGAATGAATAGCAAGTCCATAAAGTGAATTTATTAAAAATAAATAAGTTGTATGAATGTACTGTGTATAAAAAAATTAGGATCCCTGTAAAAATTGCTAGTAATGCTTATAAACAACACCAAGCCTATGGTGCAACAAATCTAGGTGAAGTAAATGTGCACAGGGGCCACTTTCCAGGTCACTAAACATGAGATATTTATGCTCAGTTTACTAAATCAAATAAAGATTACATATGTTGCACCTAGTCCTTGCTTTAGGATGTATGAAGTGTGGTTGCTTTGATAACTTATGGCTATATGTCAATCCCTCTAGGGTTTGGACGCAAAGATGTAGTTGAGTTTTTGCTTCAGAGTGGTGCTAATGTCCATGCAACAGATGATGGAGGTCTTATTCCTCTTCATAATGCCTGTTCATTTGGCCATGCAGAAGTTGTCAATCTGCTGCTACGCCAAGGCACTGATCCTAATGCTCGAGATAATTGGAACTACACGCCTCTCCATGAAGCCGCCATCAAAGGCAAAATTGACGTATGCATAGGTAGGCTTTTCTGTAACTTTGTTCAATAAATGCGTGAATCATTTTATTAGATCATTTCCCCTTCCTGATCATTTTTCCTATAACTTGGCAGAAATTGTTATGCTGATGTAAAAAGTGGTTTAATAAAAGTATAATATAAAAGAATCGATCTTAATCCTTTAGAATATTCACTTTTCTAAAATCAATTACATTCTTAATTCATTAAAAAATTTAAGAAGGCATTTTATTTAGTTGAACTTTATTACACATTGTATAAAAGTTTTTTTCATTTTTCGCTCTCACTGGCAATTTTTTGTTTCAGAAAAGAGTAGATTATCTAGTAGTTGCTGTTGCATTTAACCTCTGTAATCATTTTCTGAATTATTCTGAAATCATAGCCTGCAATTTATGGTAGATCCTCGCTCTTATATTTATGATATAAAGCAGGTTATTTAATAATAGGAAGTAAACAAAATGTAAATATTTATGAAGCTTTAAAGCATCCCAGTGTCAATTTTGAGAGGCTGGACAATGCATTTGGTAGGCTATCCATCTGTGAGGGACAGCTGAGTTGAATCTTGTGCTAATCCGAAGGAGCAAAGAAGGAGGTTTATCAGCCATTTTTCCTGATCACCAACCCTTGGGGAAAATATGGGTGGGGTGGGAAAAATTGGATTTTCACCAATGGTCACTAGGATGCTTTAAAGCTTCATAGAATCATATAGATTTACAGCACAGAAGAATGTCGTATGGATCACCATGCTGGGCTGGCTCTTTGAAAGAGCAGTGCAATTAGTCTCATTTACCTGCCTTTTCCCCATATTCTTGCAGATTATTTATCTTCAGATATTTATCTAATTCCCTTTTGAAAACTAATATGGATTCTGCCTCAAGCATCACAAAGGCAGGACATTCTACATCGTGACAGCATTGTGTGTAAAACAAATTCCTTCATTTCCTCCTTTTCTACCTTGAATCGATGCCCTCTCGTCACTGATTTACATTCCACTGGAAATCATCACCCCACACAATGATGATTGTTTCACAGTTTAATAATGCATGCCAAAGATTGACCTTCAATGCTTATTACATTTTTATATAAGATTTTAAACATAATTTTATAATATACTGTAGATTGTTGCACATTGGTTGAGGGTTCACTGATTATTTAAAAACAATTAAAAGGGAGGAAAATAGTGTCCTTTCCTGTATGGTTAAGCAAAATGGAAGGGTACAATAAATGGATGGAATGCCATGTTTGAGTTCAAGACATTATTCAGATAAGGTTTATATTACAAATTACAAGATGGATGTGTAAGAGCATTAGTATCCATTGATTGGTAGTGAAGACCATTATTAGGGATGTAATCAATAAAGAAGTAACCATCATCTAATAATTTAGATAAGAATACATTTTTAAGGTTAGAAAAGCTCCAGGAACACTGACCTTTTCATGATTCATCTTCAAATGTGTGGCTGAAATACAGCTTGTTTACGATTTTTCAGATAGTTGTTGCAATCAATAATTTAATCTTTAATTTATGTTTAATTATATTAGAAAATTAATTGCATTAGAAAATCAAAATTGGATTGCTGCAAAAGTAATAAACTAAGATTTATAGTATTAAGAACTTCAAATGAACTAGAATATGTCCAAAACTCAAATATGCAAACACATTTTAACATAAGGAGAATTTGCAAAGCAAAATATTGCAAAATAGTAATATCGCAAAACTGAAAAGATGAGGTGGTATTGAAGTGAGACTAGTGTAAAGATAATCTAACATCTCTTGGTAGACCATTAAAAATGTCTCCACTTGTCAATGGATTAGTTCATCAATTCAAGGAATTACGGGGTTGATTGGAAAGTGTGATTTATTGGTTGTGTTATCTTTTGGTGCCCAGTACATGGGACAGAATCAGTTCCCTCACAGTGGATTTTAGACCAAGGTACACAACAAAATTTATTGAATCGCTCCAGATAGAACATTTCCATTACCTGTGGTGGAATCCTACTTCAGGAAGAAAAGAAAAAAGATTATTTTATATTATAACATGTATAGTTAAGCAATTTCTAAAAAGGTCATTCTAAATATTAATCCCTAAAATAAGGACTTTTAAAATCAGATTTTTTTAAATGTAATCCCAATCTTGACCCAATATTGCCAACCATGTTTTTGGATAAAAACCTTTTAGGAATGATGTAGTAAATAGCTTTTAATTATCACATTTTAAGAGTTAGTGGCATTTTATGAACATTAATCTACTTTCAAATACTTCAGATTTATTACTGCATTAATAAATGTTTAAGGTACATTACTTTCCTTCTGTAAAATTGTTTCAAATTAATGGAAAGGGTATAATAGAACTTCAGGTTGTTGAATCAATGCTCCACTCTGGTTCTGGGGAAAGGGAGGGCATTAAACTTCCATGTACTTTAAGTATATTTAATTTAATGTTGGGTTAAATGAGTTGCATATTACCTGTAACATTTTTAAATGTGTATTAATTATTGAGAACGGGTTTCCCACTGTTTGTTTTTCAACACAACAAACCTCCCACATTATTTTTCCTGACCTAGCCTTTTGTTTTCAGATTGAGTAATGTTTTCACCATTGTCATTAGTTACAATATTAAAAAAATCTTGGAAATAATTTGTGAGGGAAACCTTATTACTATTAAACTCAATATATTCTAGGAAACTCATAAATCTTCTTGAAAAATTACCATGCAAGGTAGAATTCATATTAAGGATAGATTTAAGTATTTGCTTCCACAATGTTTATTTGCCATCCCTCAATATATTTTGAGTACTGAACATGACTAGTACTGTGCCTTATTTGAATATATATTTTTCTCATGTTCTTGCATCACTAATTTTTCATATTTATAAGACTTTTTTTACTTGTATTGTAGTGTTGCTTCAACATGGAGCTGATCCACAAATTCGTAATACTGATGGGAGGACAGCGTTCGATCTGGCAGATCTATCTGCTAAAGCTGTTTTGACAGGTGAGTGATTTTAAACCTCTGCATGACCTTTGGCTGTAATGCTGTCTCTGTAATGAGAAAGATGCTCAACATGATGCAAGTTAGAATTCTGGTATCTTGCAGCACTAAGTAGCATGCTGTACATACCTTTACACCGTGAAAGGACAGGCTTGTTTCCTGATCTTATAAGGGGTTTAGGGAGTAAATGAGGGTTGGAAAGGAATATCGTTTTTCTGAAACTCATTTTCCTGTTTTTAAAGTCTTAATGCATTCAGTGAAACCTGGACCAATAAGACTAGGACATTAGATTTATTTAAGAAACTGATTGATGGTGGTGGAAGAATGGTAGTGGATTTTCTGGAAGGATGAGACCAAATGGGCCAAAGGACTCTTTTATCCAAGCCAATCTTGTGATCCTATTTCAAATGCTTTCGGCTATTTGTGAGACCTGTGCCTTGGGTGAATGTATAAAATCTATCCAAAAAGCAGTATAAATATAATTAACATAAAAAGCCCTTTTCAAATTCTTGGAAGTTACTTCTGCTTTTATATTAAAGTTTTTAGCTAATTGTACTTACATTTACAGGTGACTACAAGAAGGATGAGTTACTGGAGACTGCAAGGTAGGTCTCCCACTTCTGAAATATTATCAGAAAATGTAACTTAACCTATTTTCTCCAGAAGACGGTGGTTTCCCTGCTCATTTTTGTTTCTGTTTCAAATTTACAACATTTAGTCTTTTTATTCCCAGTGCCCATAATTCTACCTTTATGGAGATGGTTACGAATTTTATTCTGAGGTTGGGTGGTAGGACTTGGAAGCTTGAGAAGTGTCACGCTTGTGATTTAAGATGCAATGTCCCGCATATGCTCAAGACACATTTGCATTCTGAAGATCTTGTGGTAACGTGAAGAATAAATGTGTAACACTTGTTAAAATTTCACTGGTAGAAGAACTCTAACCCTAGTTCCACTGATTAGCACGTAATGGTGTATGCCCTACTTGTCGGAAAAACTACAGGAGAAAGAAGATGCCTGTGTCTGATTACAAGGCAATATTTCATTGAAACATTTTGATGATGCCATAAATCTTAGATGGTTGCTTATTTTAGCTGTTGTCCACGAAGACATGAAAATAAACTTGGTTTTGTTCAAGTAGAGAGAAGCCTAAGACCAAGGATTGACTTCATTAGAAAAAAAATTGAATAATGATCAATAGTTGATTACGGGGGGCTTATGGAGGATATAAGTGACACACATGTTATGTTCTGTTTGTCAAAAAAGGGTCAAGTTGATTATTGTTTTTTAAGGAATTAAGCAATTTTAATACTATTTTCTGATAATGAAGAGCATGGTAATCAGTTTCACAGATTGTCAATTTTTTTTAATTGAGAGGATTCAGTTGTGAATTTATTATATGGATAATCCTAGATCATCTTATTTTCAGATCTATGACTAACAAAACTATTGGGACACTAAAAATAATGTGAACATTGAAATGCAATTTAAGCTGGACTGATGAAACATCAGCGAACCTTTTCATCTGTAGTTTACATAAGTCTGTAGGCAGGTATGAAGCTTGGATGTTCATAATGTTGACATGATGTCATGAACATTGATTGCTTCTTTGCTACATTTGATGTAATTCAGACAGAATGTGATGCTAAGCAAGTCACTGGAGTGAAACACTAGTTCTACAATTCTTCACCACATGGTGGCATCAGATCATTGTTGGCTATCAAGGAGCTATAGCATTTTAATATGGCACACTTCTGTTAAGTGTAAAACGTGTTTGCAGATCGTCACACTCCAGTGACTCTACAAAACTGATTATTTTTGTTATCACTATTCATAATGTATTATTAACTAAGTTATTTAAGAAGTAAATGTGTAATTAAACCAATTGTATCAATAGACAAAGTAGCTATTTTGATCTGCAATGATATAGAATGGAGTGCTGTTAATTTAGATGCAGCTATATCAGTAGGAATGGTTAATTGCATCAAGTATCTTTTCACATAAGTAACATGGGCTAGAATGTAATAAGAATACCTATTTATAGGAGTGGAAATGAAGAAAAGTTGATGTCCCTGCTTACACCACTGAATGTAAACTGCCATGCAAGTGATGGTAGAAAGGTAAGATTATTGTGTATTATTTGTTACTGTGTTAACCATCCAAAATGGTGGTACCTTTGAACAGTTTTAAGAATACTGGTGAACGTCTAGCTTCAATATAAGAGAAGCACGATAAAATGGCGAACTCCCATGTTTGGGATCATTAAATCAAACCTTGCATTAAATTGAAGTATGAGAAATGGCAGCCTTCTGTCAGGTTGCAGCTGACTTCACTTTCTACCCATTGAGTACTATTCACACAAAGCCCTACTAAAGTTACTTCCTGGGTATAGTACACATGCGCAATATGCAGCAACTAATACTGGCATCATTTTCTGTGCATTCACCTATTGCATATCAGTGGTAAAATGCTGATCTGCAAGGCAGCCATCTTTTAACACAGGACACTGGTTAGTCAGGGCCAGAAGCCAGATGTACTGTGCTTCCAGTATAGTATGAATACACACAGAACTAAACTGGGGTGCCTTATTAAGGAGTTCACAAAGGAGCTGGTTGTAGTAAACGTCCATAAATTACAGACATATAAACTAAGATTTTAATAGGAAAAGTGCCTTCTCCTGAAATGGTTTTCATTTCTTTCCACAGTCTACTCCACTTCATCTAGCAGCAGGATATAATCGTGTTAAGATCGTACAACTGCTCCTTCAGCATGGTGCTGATGTTCACGCTAAGGATAAAGGGTAATCATTTATCACAATTGTTTTAGAGCCATTCTAATTATTTCACATGGGCTATACATGAAAATATTTTCATGTTTTGTATTTTAGAGATTTGGTTCCTCTGCACAATGCATGTTCCTATGGCCATTATGAAGTCACAGAACTTTTGGTTAAGGTCAGTATTTTATTCTCATCACTGTTGAGGTTCCAGATCATGTTTATTGTGTTAATGAGAATGAATCTTCAATTAATCTGTTCCAAACGTTGATGTGTGCTTGTTTCTCTGGTGGTTGGCTGAGAGCAATATATCTTGTCCAGATTCAGAATGAATACTAATCTATTGATAAAAGTTCAGAATAAAATGGTTTTAAAAATAATATTTTTGAGTACTTCACAAAAAATATTGGGCCATGAATTAATTTATATGAATGTATGTGTATGATCAGAATTTTCATTTGGCTTGAAAAAACATTTGTATAGCGGAAAGTGGATTTAATGTTTCATAATCCCCCTTTACTACCAGAAAGACTAAAGGGAAAATGGCTTTTTAGATCTCCTGTCTGAGAGGAGAAATTTATTTGGAATAAAACCAGCTTGAACAGATCCACCACATTAACTGACCCTGAATGGCAAACTCTGATCCAGTTTCCGCTTCTCTCCTTGTTGGTTCTGGTGCTTGAAACAAAGTTGCAGTTTTGGTTACCTTGTCTTAGATAAATTCTGCAAAAAAAAACCAGCCTTTTAGAGACAGCTAGATTTGTTAGAAGTTTAACGGGGCAAAGTGTTGCATGAGTTTCACAGAATCTGCCTCGATTTGTCCAAGAGACTATATATTGTATTTATGTATTAGATAGAATCGTTCTATCACCTTTCACAATTATGTCATTTTTNCCAGAGATAAAATATAACCAAATATTCCAGTGATTGCAGCCTCCCATCTATATCCCAATGATGCTAAAATTATAAGACCATGAATATAATAATTGTTGCACCATCATCTTTCTGGAGTCCAAATGCAATTTGCCAGTGAAAATCCTTGTCCATGTTTAAGAAAGATTCATACCTACACGTTGAAACCTGATGACATCTGTCAGTAGTACCTAAAGGATTAAACAAAGCTGTACTGTTTATGCTTAAAAAATAGTTTTTTTTAAATTGCCTTTGAAACTTTCTCGCAGCATGGTGCCTGTGTGAATGCTATGGACCTGTGGCAGTTTACTCCTTTACACGAGGCTGCCTCTAAAAACAGAGCAGAAGTGTGTTCCCTGTTGTTGAGCTATGGTGCTGATCCAACTTTACTGAATTGTCACTCTAAAAGTGCAATTGATTTAGCACCTACTCCACAACTAAAAGAACGGTTAGCATGTAAGTAAATCTAAAACTTTTTTTATGTCATTAGCCTAGAATCTAATTATCCTAAAAGTTGTCGGAATTAATAATTCAGGACCATGTTTGTTAAAAGAGCATACATTCTTAAACAGTCTATGCATGCTGTGCTTATATTGGACGTTTGGTGAATCATTGCAATTTCAGCAGCAAATAAATATTGGCTACTGGAGCCCTACTTCTGACACCACCTGAAGGAGATGATTTCAAAAGTAGGGCAACAAGTGCAGTATAAACATAGCTGATACAATTTGCAGTGGTCACCCTGCTGAACTATCTGAGCGCTTTAAACAAATAGCTTTTTAATGATATTAAAGAGTCGACCATCCAATTTTATGCATGTAGAATGCTGAAATTGGATGCTTTATTTTCAAACTCAATTTGGAAATAATGGCTAGAGAAGATGCTTCATTTATAATGGTATAAAAGCAGTATCAAATGCCAAGGCCAGAGTTTTTAATAACAAAAACTTGCACTTATATAGTGACCTTCATGCGGGGTAGCATCCTGGAGAGCTTAACAGTGGCCAAGCCTGACATCAAGCTGGGGAGTGGTGACCATAGGCACGGTTAAAGAGGAAGGACTTCAAGTGTGATCTGAAAATGGGGAAGGAGTGGGCAAAGATGGAGGGGTTTGAGGGAGAGTGTTTTGGGGTGTAGTGGCTGAGAGCACGGCCGCCAATGGTGGAACGGCAGCCGGTCTTTCAGCCACTGCGCCCTGAAATAGAATTGAATATGGACGTTTCACTTGCATCGTACTGTATAGCCACAATTTTTAACTGCGGATTTTTGGCTTCCTGTACACTGTAGATGAGTTGTTTTTAAAACACTGCAAAATGCTTTAGTTATGAATGATAATGGAAATATTAAATATTTTTTTGGTATTGATAAATAAATTAATTTCACTTTGTAGATGAATTCAAAGGACATTCATTACTACAGGCTGCAAAAGAAGCAGATATTGTCCGGGTAAAAAGGCATCTTTCTGCAGAGATTGTGAATTTTAAACATCCGCAAACTCATGAAACAGCCCTGGTAAGAATCCTGCCTGTTTTCCAATTTATATATTCAACATTAAATGAATCAAGTTGGGCTACACTGAATAGCTAACTGCATTCAAATTTCATTAAATGAAACTTCATTTTTATTTTTATATTTTTGGGCAATATTGAATGCATAAGCATGAATGTTTTTTTTATTATTTCTTGATATCTGAATGTTCAGTTGAATATGGTTGAATACTCAAATGTTCGGTTAATACGATTTCTTGAATAATAATCCCTTAAGAAAAAAATAATAAAATTGGTCACTGCAATCTACGACTGTGTGGGACACTGCTGTGCGCAATTGGCTGCCGCGTTTCGCCCACAAATATACAATCAATTCACCTTACAGTATATTCAGTGAAGCGCTTTGAGACATCTAGAAGATGTGAAAAGCACTATATCAAATGCAAGGATTATTACTCAAGTCGCACAACGTAGAACACAGAAAATATTTAGACTTGAGATTTCTCCACCCCATTCTTACACATATTGAAAATATTTTTTGCCTAATGGGTCTTCATGCATGTTTTCTTATTAACATAACTGTTTTGGTTTGCTTGTTATTCAATTAAAGCAATCTTGTAAATTTCGTTTTTTGTAAGTTTAAAAAGTTCATTTTTTTAATGTAATAGCATTGTGTCGCTGCCTCTCAATACCCAAAACGAAAACAAGTGGCTGAATTATTATTAAGAAAAGGAGCCAATGTGAACGAAAAGACACAAGAGTAAGTTGATTTAAAAAAATTACTTTGGCCAATTTGTACATTAAAATTGAAAGGATATTCATGTTTAACAAATCTATCTATTTTTCAGCTTTTTAACACCACTTCATGTAGCTTCAGAAAAGGCACATAATGATGTGATAGATGTGCTTGTAAAAAATGAAACCAAGGTAGTGTATTATCTTTTCAAAGTATTCAAAGCAAAACTTGCAATCACTAGAGAACATAACTTTGTATTACATTTGTATATTTCAGTGTTTGATCTATAATTTGTTCTAATCTAATTGCGTTAATATATTTTTACTGAATTTGTAGAACTGTAAAAAAATTATTATTTTAGTGATAAGACACTATTTCCAATGCAAGGATTATTATGTTGGAAAGTTAGCGTTTCAATTTTATGATTATTAGGTGAATGCCTTGGACAATCTTGGCCAGACACCTTTACACAGGGCTGCACATTGTGGGCATCTTCAGACATGTCGTTTATTGCTGACCTCAGGATCTGATTCATCTATCGTATCCTTGCAAGGTTTCACTGCATTGCAAATGGGTAATGAAAGCGTACAGCAGATGTTACAAGGTAAAGTTAGATCAGTAAAAAGGAGAGAATAGGAAGACTAGTTGCATTGTGTTTGAAATGTTTTGAAGATTTTTTTTGTGCTGAATTTAGCATAAGGTTAATACTGTGGAAAAATCTTTTTTGTTTCCCCAGCAGAAGATGTCTGTGTTGGAAATTTAGATGTGGATCGGCAATTATTAGAAGCAGCCAAAGCTGGAGACTTAGATGTTGTAAAGGTAAATATTTTGTCAATACAGTGTTCAGCAAACATTCTACCAATATAAGACCTAGAACTTAATTCTTACTATTTCCTAACTGTCATTCACGAATAGATCAAGATGGTGATGGTTTTACCAGACTTCAATTTTTCAACATAAGTTTTTAATAAATATATAATCTCCCTCCCTCTCTCTCTCTCTCTCTCTCTCCCTCCCTCTCCCTCCGACCCTCTGCTCGACTGGCTGCGGCCTCCTGCATTTCCCTTGTGCTCTCAGTTCCACTATCTATGGCCGCACTTTCAGCCACTGTGCTCTGAAATGTCCCTTTTTTTAACACATTATTATACTACTGCTTCTTTGAATTAATTTCCCTTGATGCTGGAAGAATTTGTGGAAGAGGAAAAAATTAATTATGTAAAGAGACAATAACTGATTGCCTATGGGAGTGCAGTTAAGGGAAAATGTCTAATGTCTTATTTGTATTTCAGAGGCTATGTACACTTCAGAATGTAAACTGCAGAGATGTAGAAGGTCGACAATCTACACCACTCCATTTTGCAGCTGGCTATAACAGAGTGTCCGTTGTGGAATATTTGCTGCAACATGGAGCTGATGTTCATGCCAAGGACAAAGGGTAATATTTAGTAGTTTTCTCCTGGAAAAAAAAAACTTTTCTAAATTCTTGGTGCAGTGCAAATTGGAGATATTTATGTTTATTGTTAGTTTGGAGCTAAGTAAAAGTTTGGATTCCAGGAATAAGATTGCAACATGCAACCGTGATGTTTTCAAAATATTTACCTATAAACTCGAAGACTTAGGCTCTTCAGCTTGACAACAGCTCCTGTGAGGAGCTTGATGATTTACAATGCTATCGGTGTTTTATAAAATGCAAAGATTATTACTTGTTGTTCACGACTAACTGCACATAGTATGATTTACAATGACATTTTCTACAGTACTCTCTTTCCTCATTCTGTACATAAATTCACACTCCACTCAAGAATAACTATCTGGAGGTGATTGCCACCTTTGGTGGTGGAAAAGGTAAGCAAAGTAAAATAACAAGCATCAAAACATTGTAAGAAATGAACTCCTACACTGCAAAGGAATGTTATGCCTCAACTTTCAGTCCTTGTTTTCCAATAAATCACCAGAAAACATTGTCATTACATAATAGTACATGCAGACATTCTTTTTAAAGGGGTGGAGTGGGGGGAGCGACGAGGGGTGGTATTGTTATTATGAAAACTGTTTTTAATAAATTAAGAGAGTTTGTAGTTCCATTACTTTGATAATATAGAATACTTTTTATGTCCTTTCTATCAAATATTTAACATCTTGATTGTATTTTTGATTTCCTTTTATCTGTGTTTTAGGGGTTTGGTTCCATTGCACAATGCTTGTTCCTATGGGCATTATGAAGTTGCCGAACTGCTTGTTAAACATGGTGCAGTAGTAAATGTAGCAGATTTGTGGAAGTTTACTCCATTGCATGAGGCTGCAGCTAAGGGAAAATATGAAATTTGTAAACTTTTATTACTGGTAAGTAAATTCATCTGAGGTGGAAAATAAGTGTAATAATTGATCATACTGATAATCATTTCAAAAGAAAAGCTTTCATGTATTTCATCTTAAATAATTTGCCTTAATTGAGTTAATTGATAGTATATTCTGGTGTTTTTAATTAGACTCAGAAAATTCAATGTTCATTTTAATTTAAATTGCTAGCATGGTGCTGATCCAACCAAGAGGAACAGAGATGGAAATACACCCTTAGACCTGATAAAAGAAGGAGACACAGACATTCAGGACCTGTTGAGTGGAGATGCTGCCTTACTTGATGCTGCAAAGAAGGGTTGTTTGGCCAGGGTGAAAAAGCTGTGTACACCAGATAATGTTAACTGCAGAGACACACAGGGCAGACATTCAACTCCTTTACATTTGGCAGGTCAGTTTTCATGGGTTTTGTATTGCTTGTAATTATAGAAGTATTTCAGAACTATTACTTCCATTTCTGTTATTTACCTCTGAATTCCACCACGCTGGTACACTCTTGACTAGCTATCTGCTCGAAAAACGTGCGAAACGCTAAAATAAAAGAAGCTATATCTTAAGTTTTGTTTTTTAAAAACGTGAATATGGTAGGAACGATCTCTCATGCACTCCTAAAGCCCCATTTAATTATTCCTATCATGCTATAAACTCCTTTCAAAAGTAACTATATTAGAATAATGCTAATTGATCATGTGCTCTTAAGTGCCTCAATGAAGAACAGCAACAAATTACAGTTGTATAGCCCCTTTCACGTCAGGAGCACATCCTAAGGCGCTGGGATAACCAATGATAACCAGTCTTTTTTGCCAGGTATAACTAGTGCCAAAGTTCAATTTTTTTAAAAAAAATACTATTTACTCCTGCAAAAATGTAGAGTAATAATGAGTTTAAGAAAGGTTGTAAATTGTTGAAGTTTCACTCATGGTGTATTATTGCATCTGTAGATTCATTCCGAGCTATCTATGTTTTTCTCCAATAATCCCAAAGTTTCTCAGTGGTGAATACCAAAACGTATCCAGTGAATGACCAGGTTTAAATAATTCTATGGACTTTGTAGGTTCTGCTCACAAATTATTGTCTAGGAACTGGATTGAGATTACTCAATCTAATTTAACATATGATCCTGCAGTGACTTTCAACCTGTGATTTGATAGGCATCCAAATACTGAATTCATCTTATTAACCACTTCAAGCATTACTTCACCGTTGTTTATGCTTTATTGCAATATTCATGTTTGTTAACAGCTGGGTACAACAATCTAGAAGTTGCAGAATACCTATTACAACGTGGTGCTGATGTGAATGCTCAAGACAAAGGTGGCCTGATTCCCTTGCATAATGCTGCTTCATATGGGGTAAGAATGCTGTTTAATGTGGACTAAGTACTCAGCTGTGAAATATATTTGGTTACTTAAGTTATTATTTCTGCTTGGAAAGAAGCATGTATTCCAATTACATGAATATAAAAATATTCTACTTGTGTTCAAGGTTAAAGCAGTAGTTTTTTTTAAACTGAAGATGATTGCTTTGAACAGTTATTAGAGGCACATCTTTTCATCATTGAATTATCAAATATTGAATGATGTAATGATAAAAGATATTTTTTTCGTAACCAATTGAGGATTCTATCATTAACTGTATATTATAACTTTTTGGAGCCATCCCAAGGTGTCCTCGATCAAATATAGATGCACTACATTTGTTTTGTTTAATTTTTCAATGTCAGTGAGAATAATTTGATTGGAAGTCAAAGGAACTCCTCAGCTTTTAGCTTTTGCCTTTTGGTTGCCCAGAATCTCATTGTAGCATTTCTTGGAATAGGTGACTGTAAGGTTTTAATTTTCTTTGGTAAATATGAAATTGGGTTTCACTGATTGAGGATAACCAGAGAGGGAGTGAATTAAGGTATAGATTTCATCAATATAGATAAATATCTCATGGTTAGATTCACAATATTATTTGAAACTGACATGCAGAAAACCTTTTCTATAGGCTTTTATTGGCATCACATTGTTTTCTACCACAAAATGTATGGTTGAAAGGGTAAGGCTCACTACACTTTGCACTGAGTAATCGCGCCTCTTTGTTCTCTTTCTTTGTATAAAGAAGAGTAAGTCATTAAGTGACCTAAAGTGGTTTATTTTGCATTCCTTCATATGTTGCTGAAATCTATTAAATAAGTTTCTAGTTTTTCAAAATAAATTTATCAGTACATTTTACCTTGTGTGTCACTGTAGCAAATAATTGGAGAGGAAGGAAAATGTCTGAATGGAAACATAACTGGGTTCCAAACTCCTTATAGTATAGTCCTTTAACCTGGTATGCTGAATTCAAGGCAGTTTTACCTTGGTTCCACCCAAGACAAGGCTGATGTCCATTAACTGGCATGCACTATATTTGTTTTGTTATAATTTTAAGCAGAACAGCAGTTGAATGTAAATTTTTATTTTGATTTGTTTGGTTCCAGCATGTGGATGTAGCAGCCTTGTTGATAAAGTATATTGCTTGCGTAAATGCAACAGACAAGTGGGCCTTTACTCCCCTTCATGAAGCAGCCCAGAAAGGGCGGACACAACTGTGTGCCCTATTGTTAGCGCATGGAGCTGATCCCACAATGAAAAACCAGGAAGGGCAAACTCCGTTAGACCTAGTCACTGTATGTATTCTGTTAAAGCAAAATTGCTCTCCATATACTTGTTAGAATTCTGTAAAGTGACATTTGTGGGGAAAAAAACACTTCAGTGATGATTTTTATCAGGATATCTATTAGGAACATTATACTAAAAATGAATCAGGACATAATATGCAATTGTGTAATGGTTTTCATTGTACATTGTTTTATTTGGAAACTGCATGGGAGAATGGATTGACCCTACCCTTTTGCAAGTTTAATGGAATATTCTACCTTTTTGAATTGTTATAAATTAAGTTTGTATAAGGACTGTTGATTTTTAGACATTATATTTTTGTATTTGCAAAAATACATTATTTAGTTCATTTTTGTAGCCTTATTTTTTAGTAAGACAAAATATTTTAAATAGACGATTAAGTCATGTAAGCTTTCACTTTTTAAATACGTGTTTGTAAAAAATACGTATATGTAGTTTTTACAGCAATATCACCTGTTAACCATATTAAGTACAATTTACATTTATTTGTCATTAGGACTATTTCTATTCAATTTTGTTACCCAGAAGGTTTACACTCAGGTATTTGGCTTTTTCTTTTATTAGGGTAAGTAGGGAGATCACTTTGTGCTGGTTCATCTAAGATCTGATGATGTGACATCGTTTGATGGTTGGGGCCCATATTTTGGATGGGAGTAAGGGTTGCCTGAGAGCTAACCTGAATTCCCAGTTATGGGATTTGGTTTAATTTGGCTTAGTGGGGCTAAGTGCGGAAAATCCTGCTTAACAAAAAAAATCTAAGATCTGTTAACTAAGCTTTAAAGCCTAAACTTGATGACACATTGAAGGAGATTCAGCCAGTCTTTTTTTTAAAGTCTGCCCATTGGGATGTACTGTATTCTCTTACACACTATTGTTCAGCTGTAATCTTGTAAATTATTTTCAGCTTCTTTTGAGAATCTTAGCATTTCAGTTGAAGTAATGTTTTCCTCTATTCAGGCTGATGATGTCCGAGCCTTGTTGATTGCTGCAATGCCTCCATCTGCTCTGCCATCCTGCTATAAGCCTCACGCTGTTGTAATCAATGCATCTCAAACAGCAGGAACCACAGCTCCTTCCTTACCCTCTGTGCCTTCCAGTCCATCACATCTCTCAGCTTCAACCAGTCTAGATAATCTTACAAATAGTTTTTCTGAACTGGCTTCAAGTGGCAGCTTATGTGGTGCAGAAGGAACTATTGGTTTTGAGAAAAAAGAAGGTAAGGGGTTTTAATGTTTAATGTTTTCTCTGTTCTCTTTCTCCCTCACTCACACAGTGGATGTGCAGAGTAGATTTCTAATCGATTGGTCAAATGGCCTATATTTTTCTATATTTTCTTTATGTTGTGATTCTGTAGTCTGTTTTGTAAGTGAATGTTATTGTTGTATAATTACAGTTTATGTTTTTGTCTTGACAGTAACAAATTCTCATCTTCATGAAACATAGATTCGCATAAGTTATTTCCATAAATTGTCATAATTACCTAAGTTGTACATGTACCTAAGCCCCATTCAGTTTCCCACCAAAAAATACTTTGATTTCTTTGCACTTGTCGTATTTTGTAAATTGGATAAATGGCTAAATCATAACAGATTCTTTGCAAAAACATCCTAATTCCTATGCAAATTATCTCCTAACTCATAACGCAGCTATAGCACTTACCGGCTGCATTGAATCATGGGGAAAAAAAGTCTTGACCTGTTGCCACATATGCAGTTACTGGCTGCATTGAAGTATGCATGTCCAGTATAGATTATAAATTAAATCATATATTGTACGAATACGGCTGGGAAACTGAATTTCATATTAGACTTCAAAATGGAGTGGAGGAGGTGATTCAATAATACTTTGTTATTCACCCTTTGATATCTTCTATTATAGTTCCGGGAATAGATATGACTATTAACCAGTTTATGAGGAATTTGGGCATGGAACATTTATGTGACATTTTTGAAAGAGAACAGGTAGGTTTTATAGCAGCATGCACTTTCTCATATTCTCCTCATATGGTGCTATAATTAAGTACGTTGGGTATTGCATAACCAAAGTCAAATGCAAATCTTGCTTCCTTTTACTTGGTCAATATCTTGGCCAAAGTCTGCAACAATGCTGCGTTCTCTATCATATTTTGTATTGCCCCTTTTGAGGATATACTGTAAAGTGGATTGACTGTGTTTTGTGAATAAAATACCTATATAATTCTCTTGAATTTGCTAATAACCTCATTTTGTCTGGGTCATTCAGATTGCTGACTGATAGGAAATTTTTCCTCACTACAACATTGATGTTCTGTCTTAGTATCCATGGAGATCTGACTCCATCATCTCATGGATCGTGAAACTGAAGCTTTTACAAAAATATGAAATGATATTCAAGTCTTTTTTTAAATATTAAAAAATGTATTTCTTTAAGCAAACTGTAGTCCCTCTCGACTTGTTTGACTGCAGCCTTTCTCACCTATTTCTCATATTCTTTTGCAGATCACATTAGATGTATTGTTTGAAATGGGACATAAAGAACTCAAAGAAATTGGAATAAATGCTTACGGACATAGACATAAAATCATTAAAGGAGTTGAAAGACTAATTGCTGGACAGCAAGGTTTGTTTGTGAACCAGTATATTTAATGTGAAGATCCTGTAACTCAATAATTATTACTTTAGGAGCTCTGGAAACTTTATAACTGAGTTAACTGAGTATTTTCCAATTATAGGCATCAATCCATATATAACTTTAAACACTTCCGGCAGTGGTACAATACTAATTGATTTGTTACCAGATGACAAGGAGTTCCAGTCTGTAGAAGAAGAGGTAATCATCCATTTTTACTTTGTACTTATTGTATGCAATACTCTTTATTTGCATTGCCTGCTTTGTTTGTGGAGGTAATATTGTATGAAAATTATACAGATGCAGAGCACGGTTCGAGAACACAGAGATGGTGGCCATGCTGGAGGAGTTTTTAATAAATACAACTTTTTAAAGGTGCTGTAATATTACCAATTATTTGTTTCCATGTTTTGGTTTGTACCAGTAAATCAGAAACTCATCAAAAAATTATTTCAGATTCAAAGGGTATGTAACAAAAGACTGTGGGAGAGGTACACTCACCGAAGAAAAGAAGTATCTGAGGAAAATCACAACCATTCAAATGAAAGAATGCTATTTCATGGTAAGCATGGTAACACCAAAATGTTAATGAATACAAATTCGGAGTGTAGTAGCCACTTCTCAAGCCACCATGCAGAGGGTGGCGCTTGAGACCAGCTGCATAGCATCTACACTTTTCCTAAGCCTTAATTTTGCAGCTCAAGGTTAATCAGGCTTCAAAGGGTCTTCAAAGATTCGCCATCAGTTGTTGCATTACTTTAATACATTCCTCTTTGCACATGGTGGTTGAACATATGAGGCAGAATGTCTACTATAGTAACCTTGCATTTGATATAGTGTTGAGAAGACTTCTCAAAGCACTTCAGACTGTACTGTAAGGTGGCGTGACTGGTCTGTATTTTGTGGGTGAACTAGTGTATTAACGTCTTCCAGAGTTTCAAAAAAGTTTCAAACTGCACATTGCTTCCTTAAATGTGGTAACAAGGGCATAACATTTTTTTAAAAAAAGTCCCTCTGACTGAGAGTGCTCTTTGATTACTTTTTCTCATGCCCTCTGTTTGTTTGGTCGTTTTGCTGAAACACAGAAGCTCTGCATACAAAGAATAATGGGCACAAATCTAATATTTTTTCCTGCCTTTTATGATGCAATTTAATGTTAAATTTTTCATATTTGTGAAGAGACATTGTGTAGTATAGTATAGCTTGCAATAAATGTTACATTTTAGTGCTTTTGTACTATCTCTTATTGCAACACTTGAACTTAGCGCACTCACTGTAACATACACTGTTTAAGATCTGTTAAAGATTGCTGTATTTAGGTATTATATAACCCTCAAAGGCAGCCCAGTAGTGAATGTGCATAATATCTGGTGGTTTTACAATATTAAATACTGGTTTGTTTGTGTCTTTAAGTAGCTTTTACTCTCTTACCCACTCCCACAGGTTCTCCCTTTGTAAATGCAATAATACACAAGGGGTTTGATGAAAGGCATGCTTACATTGGAGGAATGTTTGGAGCAGGCATATATTTTGCAGAAAATTCGTCCAAAAGTAACCAGTATGTTTATGGAATAGGCGGTGGCACTGGCTGTCCCTTACATAAAGACAGGTCATGTTACATTTGTCACAGGTAAGAATCTATTGTCTGTAATTATCAGATTTTCCGTGACTAGCAGCATCACTCTTATTTAGTAAATTGTTTTATAGAACATAAGCAATGCGGTTTGGCTGGGCTAAATGTCTGGTGTTTCAGTTATTGACCATCAAATTTGAGCTATATAAACCTGTAACTCTGCATTCAGGTTAAGGGTGGCATAAGTGGAATTCTTGGGAACAGGTTATATGCCTGACTTGTTCACCAAAAAAAGTATGTGTGAGGGAGAACTTTATTTTTTAAATTCTGAAGTGCTATAGTTGGCGTTGCTGATGACTAAATGCTATTTAAAATCTGGAATATGAAATGTATACAACAGTGACTGTAGTCCTGTATGTTGGATTTCTACACGGTAGTCCGGTACTTTGTCCATTTCTACTTAACTACATAAAAAAGTAAGTGGTGAATTATGTACTTGATACAATACAGTAAAAAAAACTTGTAACGAATGTTTAGTTAAATAAATTATGTTTAAATTGCTGAATTTCTATGTTATTTTATTCCCTCCTTCCACAGACAAATGGTGTTTTGTCGAGTAACACTAGGCAAGTCATTCTTGCAGTTCAGTGCAATGAAAATGGCTCATGCTCCTCCTGGTCATCATTCTGTCACTGGCCGGCCCAGTGTGAATGGTCTAGCATTAGCTGAGTATGTCATTTATAGAGGCGAACAGGTGTGTTTATTTTTTTTAATGTATTTGTGCCTCTTAGCCTCCTCATTTAATCTCATGAGGAATGTTTGCTTATATACTATATGCTTCCTGTAGCTGTAAGCAACTATCCCTCCCTGGACCTTTTTGCATTTTTCAGTTTATATTCAGGATTCTTGGAACTTGTTTTTCATTATTTCCATTTCCTTTGTCTCTCACAAAACTGATCTTTCTTGTATTACCCAAGAATTTTAAAATGTTTCTTCTTATTACATAAGTTAATTATTTAGCTAAAGTATTTTTTTTTAAATAAACAAACTTGCAAAAGTGACCAATTGTGTTTTTGCTTTTTCTCCTCCCAGGCTTACCCTGAATATATGATAACCTATCAGATTATGAAGCCAGAAAATTCATCTGATTGATACTTTTTTTAAACAGTGTATCACAAAGTTGACATAAATACACTGCAATGTTACATTTGCATTTGTTTGGAAGGTGAACACATTATATAATTTCATATTTTGAAAACAAAAACAGTTACACCCCACAGAATGTTGATAGCTTTTACAATGTGAAGAATGTCAATTGAACAACCTAAAAAAAACCTTCAGTGTACAAAGGAAGTAACTTTTCTGGAGAACTGCCAGTATTCCAGCACTTTAATAGAAACCATTCCAGAAGAAAGCTGGCTTTTGCTTTTCAAATTATGGATGAAATGCCTTCCTTGCAGAAAGTGACTTGAAATAATTGTACAGAATTCGGATTTCTGTTGCTCTTTGCTAGTCTAATCATGACACTCGATCTCTATAGAATACTGAATTTGCAGAACATTTAGCAGTGTTTCAGATTAAAAACACCATAATATGGTATACTCATTTGTAAAACAATTGTAAATAAAAATGATTTTGTACTAGTCCAGTAACTTATTTACACTGCTTTTGTAATATGAATGTACTGTGTTTTGAAGTGCAGACTTAAGAATCTTTTGAACAGCTTAATAGGTAATTTTTCAAAAGTTCCTTGATGTATCACAAATTTAAAATATCCCAGCTATATCATCATTGAAGTCCCATTAAAGGGAAGTGAATAGATTTTGAAAAATCTGCCTGCACTTTCATTACTATAATTTTTCTTATTCTTGAAGAAAAATTATACTACTATCCATGAATTATGTAAATGAGTCATGAAATTACATAAAACTGACCGTTAACATTAAGATATGCATGGAGAAAAATAGACTTAGGGCATGTGTATAATTGTTTTTTGACTTGCTGTTTTAGTTGCATGAAAAAAATTGTGCTCCCTAGTCATTTAATCCATTAACTAAAAGTTCAGTGTTTTAATATGGTCCTATCACTTGAAATTCATTGTAAGCTAAATTTCTAATTATATGATCATTGTGCAGTGTGTACAACCTACCCATCAAGAACTGTGTTTAACTTAAATGACTTGTCACATTCCATGCTTGTGTTAGCTCATTACATTATATTCGCTTGCATCCTAATGGTGTGTTGATGAATGATTATTGTAAAGCATATACAATTTTGTGTAGGCTGTTTTAATAAGAAGGATGTTTTTAGTGCAGGTTCATTCCATAATATGTATGTTAATCTGAACTTGTTCTCAATGTATGGAAATGTACCAGAAACCGGTTTAAGTCTTACCTTATCCAATATACATTGCATTTTTTTAGAATTAAATAAATTTTTGATTTGTCCACCTACGAGAGTCAATTCACAAATTCCCGTTTGTCAACTCAATTTGTATCTTTTCATTTGACTTTGAGAAAAAAAATCCTTGCTACCAGAACTGCAGAAAAACAACTAAGATACAATACATCAATGAATCTCACAGTTATGTATTTGAGGAATAAAGTGTCACATAAAGCATTTTTTAAAAAATTTGCAGCTCATGCACTAAGACTGAAAAATCCCTTGACATTCATTTTAATGTCACTGAGATGTTGAGTAACTTTATTACTGTAATTATGTAACAATAAAGAACTTTAAAAATGTCACAATAAAACATTTTTAAGAAGTTCTGTTCCATGTCTTTTTCATCCTAATTTGTTTTGAATGTTAGCCGATTTTTTTTACTAAATTACTTGTAATTTACCTATTTATTTTACAAGTACTGTGTTTACGATTATGCCTGTTATTTCTGGACCTAAGATTAGTTGATTAAAATTAGTTTCATACTATCATTGGGGCAATTAGATCAAAGTGTGACTTGCCACACCAGCCACCCTGTCTCATCGACAGGACTGGAGGGGCACATTGGTAGCTCGGATTCTTCCCATTTGGCTCCTATGAGTCGAGTCTGCAATTTAATGTCAAACTATATCATTTCTCAGCACTCAAAAATGCTACCCTGTGTGAAGGGCGCTGTATTAACTTCAAGTTGTAGCAAACCAAAGTCCTAACAGGTGGGACATTCTTACGCATTCCATTCCAGACGCATGGAAATGTCTGTGTGTAAGTGATGGATCGAGAACTCTGGTTGAATGTTCGTTAGCGTGGTGATGGGTTATCACATGTGGCAGACAAATTGCTGAACACTCCCCACCCCCAGCACACACACAGAATAGCATTGAACTCATCCTGGAGCATAATGTGATGTCTGGTATAAGTTACAATTTTCATTTCAATCTTTGCTTCTAGTCACAGCTGTATTCCTTGTGGTTTCTGTCTCCAAAGCAGATGAATGTAGAGACAAAGCACTATCTTAAATCCAAATATTGTGCGTCCGCTAGACTCAATGGTAGCATTCCAGCTTCTGCGTCAAAAGATTGTGGGTTCAAATCCCATGACGGGACTTGAACTAATACTCATAAAAGGGAGTTTCTCACAGTGTCCTGGCCAACAATCCCCCAAGCAAAATTGGTCATTCATTTCAAGGCTGTTTGTGGGGCATTCCTGTGAGCAATTGTGCTGCTGTGTTTGCCTACAAATACACACTACATTACACAGGAAAACCTGCAAAGCTTCCCAATAATTAAACAGATTATTTACTCTTTTCAAATAGTGCAATGGGATCTTTTACATCTACCTGAACAGACAGATGGGACCTCGGTTTAATGTCTCATTCAAAAGAAGGCACTCTGATAATTCTTTGAGATGTCCTTCTGATGTGATAAGGTGCTCTACCAAATCCATAAGGATAATTATTTTTATCTGATATAATTTCTATCACGATTTTATTTTTAAATTGCCTTCAGAATCTCCATCTTTTAAAACATACATCACTGGTATCTCGTTTCTATTTAATAATGATCTCACGTGTTCCCGTCTCGTAAAACAGTTCTCTATTTTATTTTCCTCCTTTCAGAGATGTATGGGTGGCATGACATCATGGCCTTACAGTGAATGTGCTGTTCAATTTGTTTGAATGACTGCTAAAAGATTGTCAAAGATTCCCAGCACAGAACTTGTTCACACTATGTGGTCCCAAGCAGAACTCCAGACAAGCTACTGAAATAGGCATAAAGAATTTTTACAATAGTGCCAGATCTTTGGTGGTGGAGACTACAGAGGTGATGAATTGTAAGTGACCATTTCATGCCAAGGTGCTAGGCTAGCATTACATGGGGTGGAGGAATCTCCAGCAGCTATTAACCTTGAATAAGGGAGCATTAGGGACAGGCTTGTTGCCAAGACAAAACTATGCATAGTAATCTATTACTGCTTGTCAACGCACATTGACAAAAGATTAACTTCTAATCATTACATCTTGTTTGAACTAATGTGCAACGATATTGTGCTGTGTGGCCCACTTAATATGCCATCCTTGTCCTGTAAGTGATTGTGAACAAAATTGTTTGTAATCGAAAAGGCTGGTTATTTAAAAAAAAAGCCATGAAAACTTACCACCTAAAATATGGTGGTTCTGCATCTTTGCTTCCACAAGTTAAATATACTCACTGCACAGAATAATTGATGTATAATTCTTGTATTTGCGCTTGATATTTTTTGATATTTGGTACACCTTTAATTTGACCCAAAACTAATTTTCTGCAATTTGTGAAAAGAACAAGCTTCCAAATTAAGCTTAAATTCAAGAATTTTCCATAATTCTGTACTGTCTTAAATTTTAAGATATAATGGTCTTGCAGACAAAGACTGGGTAGAATTTCAAACCTCACATGCCAATTTATTTCTATACTTTTTTTAAAATTTAAACTTTTAAATACTTCTTGGTAGCAAGTTATTTTCCCATTCTAATTTTCTTCCTCCTCTGTTGAAGGTCCTGCCACATAAGTCACCTTTATTTTCACTCATCCAAGCATCATCTCCAGGGTGGAAGGGGGGAGAAGGGTGGCAGTGTTTTTATTCATGGTCCCATTACTGGCTTGTGATGTATGTTTCATGTTCAATTGATGTAGTCTCATCTCATTTGGGCGTGTCAATTTTGAGACTTGGAGTTCATTAGTAACAATGACCCGTGAAGCAAGTTTTCAACTAAAACTGTCTGTTTTGGAAGGTGTGAGAAGGACAGAAAACTTTTGGATTAAAAGAGAACTTCCAAGAATATAAGATCATCTAGAAAACACTAATGTTGACCTTCAATAAAGGACAGAAAACGAAATGAAAATGTGGGTGAAGGAAAAAAATTTCAAAGTGTTTTGATCTTATTTTAAAAAAGTATTTTAATACGGTTAGGGTTAAATGCATATTACTTATGCTGGTGAGAAAGGGAATTGGCTAAAGACAACGTTGGAATGTTGCAAAGTAATTAGTTGCTTTTCAGCTAAACAAATTGTAGTTCAAATTGTAAGCACCAGCAATGGAATAAAGTGTGAGAGGCACAATAGTAACAATGATGGTGAAAATTGCAAGAAACAAGATAATTAATCTCACGCCAGCCAGACTCTACATTCTAGTACATTTCAACCAGCATTTAAAGCATTTTATATTCAGTATCCTGATCTGAATTCATTCATAATACGTGGACAAGTTTTTTGAAGAATAAAACATGGATATCTTTATATTACAAATCATCATTATTCCCTATTGATTTTAACGTCGAGACTGCGGTGGAAACAGTCAAACTCTGGTGAAAAAAAATCTCGCAATAGTTGAATATTATTCTCCACGACACGTCATGCCTAAACATCAATAGTATTCTAGAAATTATACCTAATCTTCAAACTAAAATGAACGTTGCAGGAAAGAATAGTTTGGCCGGACAGAAAAATTATAACAAGCTCATAGAAACAAGCTGTGATATAACAAATAACGCATAAAGAATATATGTGGGCACACATCAAATAGCAACTCTAATGGTTTAAGAGCAGTGTGAACAATTCCTGAAAGAACTGCGTGGATTAATGGAAAATTATAATTGAAGGATCTAAATTGTGTGCTTAACCTTGGGCTAACATCCTATTAACACTACAGTGAGGACAGGAGGGAGGAGGAGACTGAGTGAAATCACACCACCCTCTATCAGCTGATGTTTCCTATTCAGTGACTGCAATGTGGGCAGTTCCAACTTTCAGATTCCAACCCTCTTTCCACAGGAAAACAGACACACATCTCATTATACTTTTCAAAATGATCTTTCAGTTTTACAAAATCCGAGACCTATTCTCAGATGCAGAACTTGCTGAAGTTACAAACTCTCCAAGGAATCTTAAATCAGCACATTCTTCAATCGTTGGTTTTCATTAAAAAAAAACAGAATTTGAAATGAAGTGAAGACTGTTAGAAAGAACATGTGAAACGTTTATTCTTGGGACTGGTGATATCTGATTTTTGTGCAGATTCATGTATTTTATTTGAGTTCATTTTGCAGATTTACTGTAGATAAGAAGACCGTTACATGCTATAACCAGAGAATGGGAGATTTACAGCTTTGTTAGAACTTTTATTTAATAGTGTGAGGCAGGAGGAGAAATCATTAAAAAATCATGATTATATCAGACAAGGGCCATATTAACATCAGCCATTGAATTAAAATTACTGTTGGAAGACTACAATGTATAAATATCAGATTATAATGTAAAGTCGAAAATAGCATATGACCAATTATTATCTAATTATATGGGAGGAGTAAATTAATAATGTTTGATTCCTTAGTTATTTTGATATTTAATAAATCAAAGTGAGACATTAAAGTACAGATATTAACTTTTTACTATTAATGACCCAGTGAAAGCAAACTTGGGATATAGTCTAACTTCGTTGAGTTGCATCTTGCAAAAACAATAGTTTCGACATTGTATACCCCCAATTTCACATTTAAGCAATAGTTTTGCATACTAAACTTAAATGCTTTCACTTAAAATAACAAAAACACATTTGGAAAGAATGCCATTGCAGTTTCTATTCAGTATTCCGACCAATTACTTCAGGATTGTGACACTGGCCTAATTGATTGCTTAAATTTCAGTTTCTTTTTATAATGCAGAGGCATATTATAGGAAGCCTGACAATGGGAACTACCCTCGAGAAACTTTCTGCACTGTTAAGCACAGAAAATAATCTAACCGTGTCCCACACTTCTTGCTTTTGACCTCGAATAAACTGAATGCAAGATGTAGGTCCTTCTAGCCTCAATGAAGAATAATACTCTTTGTGATAATTGTAATTAAGAACAAAACAACATATGGATCAAAGATGGGGAGATTCTATAGACCATCATGTGACTGCCGTTCTCAATATTTGTAATTGTCACAGGATCAAATTACAAGGCACTTGATTGGGGAAGAAAAGCAGACCTGCTCCCTGAGCAACTTTCCTCAAAGTTCAATGCTGTTTCATTGTAATGTTTCAAAACAGTTAAGAAAAATTAAGTGTATTTTTTTTGTTTTATCATCCCATACAGCTTTTTGCTTTCCCCTACCTGACAATCTACATTTATGTTTGGGTATCTCGTCTCCTGGGTGTATGTATATCACACAATTGATAACTAGCAAAATAACAATAGATGGAATCTTATTTAATTGAGTATTTATTCAACTGATGTTGACCTTAACCCGAACTTGAAGGCACTGCAATTAGTTTTCATTTGTTAAAACGGATGTAC